CTAGATGACCTGGATTTGGGATGCTTATAAACTCACACTGACCATTCACTTCTTGCCCATGTACCTGAGCCTAATTGTACCCCCATCGTTGCAGGGGTCCTTGTAGCGTGTAAACAAGGAATGCTGCTGCTCCAGCTTGTCGTCTGCAGGAAAGGAGAGGGGGGGGGAGTCCAGGCTTGCTGGTAACTGGACACAGCCCTCTGGTCCCTGCATGTGAGCTGTCGGGCTGGAGGCAGCCAGCTGGCGGCCCTGTGCCCAGAAGTGCTTCTTTGGCTGGTTCTGATTGTGTTTGGAGTTCGGCCTTGGGTGAGGCCCGAGCGAGGGTCTGTGTGGCTACGGCGTGGCACATGGCATGCGGGCAGCGGGCATGCGAGGGTGCAGGCATGCGAGACAACATGGCAGCAGACGAAAAGAGTGAACCCTGGACAAAGCTTGAGAAGAGATACAAAGAGTACAGAAGCCCGGTTCTCATACTAACCCACCGGTTACAAACTAGGTTGTGCTGTAGAGTCGTAGAAAATCACGTTGTGAAAGAATGGCACTGGTTGGGCACCTGGGGCTCCCTGGGTGGGCCTGACTCCTGTCCTCGGCGTGTGCCCCAGAAGTGCAGGGCAGTGCTGCTTCAGCTCACCGGGGCTGCGGCTCCTCCCAGGCCCCTGCCCTCCTCCCCCAGCACCAGGGGTGCTTGCCGGAGGGGACATGGCCCGGGAGGAGCTGCCACGGCTTTAAGGGCTGGCAGAGGCCTGCTGCTCCTGATTACTTGGCTGGTTTATGACTCCTCCTCCCCTGAAGACACCATTAGCCGCATGGCCACCGGGAGGTGGTCTGTCAGGCCCGACAGCTGAGTGACAAAAATGAATTCTTCCACCTCCTGTAGGGGCAGAAGCATTGGGTTAGACTCACAGAGCATCTTGCAGAGAAGGGGCCTGCTGGGTGGGGCGGGGTGGGGCTGGCCCAGATCTTCCTGCAGGCAGGGTGGGTGGGAGCTGGAGCAGCCTCTGGGGCCCCTGAGGTCCTAGGATTAGTAAGTCTCGTTTTCACAGGGGAGCTTAGTGCCAGGGAAGGGTGAGTGCATAGGCCCCCAACCAAGACAGGCACAGCCTATTGCCTTGCCCTACTGTAGACTCACGGCCTTCCAGTCTGGGCACAGCCCCTCCTCCGCGTGCAGCAGGTAGTCGATGCGCCGGCCATTGCCCTTCAGCAGGTCCTTGCGCCCCTTCTGGCCTCCCCCAGGGCTCTTGCTGGTGGGGAAGGCGAGGTACTCCCGGCGGCCTTCTTCACTCTCCAAGACCCTGCTCACAGACAGGAAGGCAAGTGAGTCCCAGGTACTGAGTATGGAGCCACGCTCTCAACCCCAAGTGAGTAAAAAGCAGGTAAGCCCAGATTCCTGCATTTAACTGTCTTCCCCGTGGGCCCAAAACGGGACTGAGATGGAGGGAGAGGTTGAACCTACATGTTCTGGCTTACTGGGCCACCCCGGCCTGTACAGATTGTCCCATGTCCACTGTGGTTCGCCACCTTTCCCCTCTACTCGGAAGTGGGCCTCGGCGACAGCGTGGGCCCAGCACCACCCAGCATCTGTGGTGAGCTGGGGCCAGCACTGCACTCTGCCCTGGAGCTCTGCTCTGAACCAGTAGGGGTCTGTCTGGGAGAACCCAATCTTTGCTGTGAACCCCAGGAACCCTTCATGCCCCCAGGCTGCCCATGGCTTTTGTTTCAGGCCAGCAGGCAGGTGGGGGAGCCAAGAGAGCATCCAAGGGAGGCCAGCAGGTAGGTGAGGGAGCCAGGAGAGCATCCTACTTCTTAGAGGAAACTGCCATATGTGCTGAGGTGCTTGACAAAGTTTTACTGGGGTGGCTGGGTACCCGGGTGGGACCTGATACCCCAGGTCTGAGTCTGCTATCTCCTCATCTGCCAGGAGGCAGGTAGGGGCCTGTGTCCTTCCTGTGGGTCTTAACAGGAGTCAGGGCAGGCTCAGGCCCGTGTTGGGCGGTGGGAGGTGGCACAGGTGGGCCAGGGCAGCTGATGACTGGACCAGTGGAAAGGCTGCTGGCAGGCACAGCCAGCAAACCTGGGTCCCTGCAAGGCCTCTGAGCCTTGAGATAAGTAGACTAATAACATGCAGAGCATCATTACCTATCAGAAGTGTGATCTGTTACTGTCCTTTGCCTTTGGTAATTAATTCAGCATCAATGTTCTAAGAGTTACTGATAGTCATTTTTTAATCATCATCTCATAAAAAGATAATTTTCTCAGTATAGGATGATGTTTCAAATTTAGTCTGTAATCTAATTAATTGGCCCAAATTAGCTGCAAAGAGCCATCGCTGTGACTGCAGTCTCAGACAGAGAATTATAAATTGGTTCTGCTGCCGGCCTCTCAACTGTGTTCTTTACGGAAGACTCATCAGGTTCAAGAATGAAGTTTGGTTGCAATAGGACTGTCTTGTCTTTGAAAATGACCACCAGTGTCCTTCTCTTATTTTGATTTGCCTACTGGATGGCTGCCAGAGCAGTGGGCGCTGTGGAGCAGACCACATTCCCAGGGCTCTTTGCAACCCTTGCTCTGCCCTGGGGAATCTGGCCCCTTTTCCTGTGTTGGGCAGGTCCCCAGGGTAGGCTGAGGCCTGAGCAGGCCAAGCTCATAAAGAAGCCCAGAGCTGGGTGCTGGTGTTGACCCCAGGCCAACTCAGAGGTTTCTTCTTGCCAAGGCCAGCCCCTGGGGTGTGAGGGCCTCCACCTGTTCCCAGCTTCAGTGTCTGAGGCTCTCAAAGGCTTCCTGCCCCAAAGGTGTGCTCTCGTCTGCCCCGTGCACTTCTCCACTCGAGTCAGGTGCTTATCACCTGGAGCCTCCCTGGGTCACCAGCCCATCAACCTGCCTGCAGCAGCACGGGTGCTGGGTGCTTACTTTTGCAGATTGTCAGGGGTGCTCACATCCTCATCATAGAGGCCATCTGTGTCCAGCAGGGTACCTGGGAACAAGGGAGTGAGAGCAGTCACGGTGGGCAGTTCTCAGCAACCCAGGGAGAGCTGCCTCTGGGGCGGGAGAGGCAGGTGAGGCCTGGCCTGCCTGAGTAGCTGTGTAGCCCCACTGCCCTCCAGCAGCAAGTTCTTGGGGGCAGGTCCTGAGGTCTTTGGGAAACCTGTGGGGAACCAGCCTCGTGTAGTAATAGGGCTCATGGTGGGCTCAGGCCTCAGCCGTGTCCCTCCCCGCCCTCCCCCAGCCCCAGCTCACCGATGGCCCATGACTTCTCTTCCCCAGGCCCCAGGCGGCAGGGGTCCTTGTAGCGTGTAAACAAGGAATGCTGCTGCTCCAGCTTGTCGTCTGCAGGAAAGGAGAGGGGGTACTGTGGACTCGGGATGGCTGGCAGCTCCTGGGGGGTCTCCCACCCCTGGTTCCTGTCAGCTGCGCCGACCAGATGACACCTGGTCCCTGTCCCTCAGGAAACTGTGTCTAGGTGGGGCTCTGGTTCATTGGCCATTGGTCTGTGTCCTTGAGGGTGCCCCTCTGCTGCCCACACACTGGCGTCCAGCTTTCTGTCTGCCTGAGCACAATGGTCATTCATTGTTCCTTTTGGGCTCCAGAACTTATGGAGCCCAGAACTTGTGGCAAACCCTATGGGGTCTATCTGATGCTACACTGGCGGGGCCTGGGACCCCCAGACATCTGGATGTTCAGCCTAATAAGGGATGCACCCCACAAAACTTGGGGAGAACTGACCTACCACTGCTGACCCACTAGGGCATCAAGAGCCTTTCTGAGCCCCTGGGGAGGAGGGACAGAGGGACAGGAGTCTGACCAGTGGGAGTCTCTCTCGACAGCCTCTAATAATCTGGGTCCCCATCCTGACTCAGGAAGACTGCTGGGGTGCCCAGCCTTTGGAGCTGGCATGGGACTTTGAGGGGGACATCGTGCTGCCGTGGGCAGGCTGTGCTCCGTGGTGGGCTCTGCTCGGCCCACTCACCGAATCGCCACCACTGCCAAGTAGTCCCTTTGGGTCATGAACAGGGTGAGCCCCACCCTTGGTATCTTCAGGCTTCTTGCCTTCACTGAGAGATGGGCCCGAGCTCTCAGACACCCTGTCCCCCACCCATCTGCAGTCTCCCCTGGTGCCTGTGGCCAGTGGGGAGCCCAAGAGCCAGCGAGCTAGAAGTGGGTGGGTGGGTGTGGTTCCTCGCACTTAGCTTCTAGGGCCAAAAGAGGTTCAGAGCTGCCCCTGGAATCAGCATGATCATCTGAGTCACAGGCCAGTTTGTTTAGTCAGTTATTTATAATTTCACCAATGATACACTTTTCCTCTTTTTGCCCAGTAGCTTAAAGCGTGATTTCCAGGGTTCAAGTCCCATTTCAGTCACTCCATGACTGTGTGCTTTGGACTAGTTACCAACCCTTTGGGTCTCAACTGCCGTGCCAGAGCCCACTCTCAGAGTTGCTGAGACAGAACTGAAACAGTTGGCCTGTGAATTGTCCTTAGAATTTCGTCCAGTGCAGAGAGAGCTGAGTGAAGAGGTAGTGAAGACTAAACTTGCCCTAGTCTGAGTTTCCAGGGCCCCACGCCTTCCCAGTCAGGTTCTTTTTTCAGGTGTCACCTTTGTCTCCAGTAAGGCAGCCCCTGAGCTTTCTAGGCAGAGCGTGGGCTTTTTCTGTTCTGAACTTTCTAGGGGGCAGGGCAGAGAAATCATAGACTTGCTAATACCCCACCCACATGCTCACAAGGAGCAGGAAGTTCTTCAAGCTGTCTAACCCAGGTCTTTCCAGCCCTGTTGGGGGGGGGGGGTAGCCCACCCCTTCCCCAGGAGCCCATAGAACAGGGATGAGCCAGGCCTCACCAGAGGAGCAGTTGTCAAAGTTCAAATCTCCACAGATGACGTCAAATGCCACCAACTCATCGGGGTTGGCTGTGCTGGACGAGGAGGTAGATTTTCGAAAATCAGCCAGCCAGTCCTGAAGCATGTCCAGCTGCTCACACCGAATGGCACTGTCCTCTGCAGGGCAGAATGTGGACAGCTGGTGATGAAGCTGTAGCCAGACCCCAGTCAGGCCCCAGCACCAAGTCTGGCTACTCCCCTCCCCGTGAAAAGCGTGGCCTCGGACTCTACCTGGCAGGGCATGCAGGTGTGTGCAGGAGATGTACCCGACAATTCTTTGGTCCTGAGGTGTGCTTCCCACCTGCACCTGTGGGGGAGAAGGTAAGCACGATGAAGCAAAGAGACTCCCTGGTGCTGCCCACCCCCACCAGAACAAGCCTAGCTTTGTTGGTCCCTGGCCCAGGTAGGAACAATACATCTTGCTTCTAGGAGCTTCTAGTGCAGAAGGCAGAGGCATAAAGAAGTACCAGACTGTGGCCTGGTAAGTACTACTGGCAGTTCATGCAAGGCTTCATATTCCCTCCCCAAACCACTGCTGTTTCCTGCTGCCTCGGCACAGTGTCCACGTGAATGACCCTTATATGCCAGCCCTCAGATGCTGTTCACTCCCTCCTGGTGTCTCCTCTGTCCCTCAGTCACACCCTAGAGTCAGTCTGACAGCTAAGTGGGGCTCCCCTCTGTGACATGACCCAGCTGCAAAGCGCACCACTGTCCCTCTGCTGTGAAAAGCAAAGCACCCATACTCCTCACACTTCTCCCCATCCCACCCCCGCTCCATGAGAAGTCACTTCATCTTTTTGGCTATTAGTCCCTCAGTTTGGGGTGACAGCCATGACCTGTGTCCCTATGGCCTGTGTCTGAGGCTGGCCCCAGGTAGTCACAGCCTCTGTCCTGAACCCCGTGCCTCCTTCACCACTCCTAGGGGTCAGATCTTCACCTGACTTCCTGCCTAGCCCACAGATGACCCTGGCAGGCTCTCTCCAGAGGTGGCTGTAATGAAACCAAGCTTCTCAATAATGTCTCCTGGACAACTACAAATGCACACTCCCCACCCTGTAGCAAGTCACTGGGGCCTGAGCCATTGTCGGGGCTGTGGCCGAGGAGGTGAGGGATGGCCGCCCAGCCTGCCAGCTCCCCCAGGGCCCTGGCTATGGCACAGCAGCTGGAGGCTGTAAGGGGAAGGCCCCTCCTGGATGTGCTCCCAGGACAGCCTGCGGGCACCTTCCTTTGGGTGGCCCCGATCCTCTTGGCCATGTCCCAGCTGTCTTCCAGAAATTTGACAGTGCGCCGCAGACTAGAAGTGAAGAGCGCCCGAGTTGGGAACTCTGCAGGGACGGTCACCCTAGAGGCCAGTTCTGTGAGGGGCCCTGCAGCAGCGGAGGCGTGATCATCACACCCCTGTCCTTTAGCGAAGGGAGGCCTCCGCTCTGAGAGCCTTTCCGTCTTCCTATTACTGATGAAGTTGAATTTGCACCGTTATCTTCCATGTGGGTTTCACATCATCACTCTCGTTGCTTCCTGTATCTCTTCCTCCCCTTTCCAAGTGGGGATTGAGGTCTTTCCCAGCATCTTTTCTTTGGTGGTGGTGGGGGGGGTGGTGTTTGTCTAGCTACATGACTGCAGGCTAGATGACCTGGATTTGGGATGCTTATAAACTCACACTGACCATTCACTTCTTGCCCATGTACCTGAGCCTAATTGTACCCCC